TATATATATATATATAGCATAATTAAGACAAAAATGAAAAAAAGAAAAGAGAAAAATGACGAAAATTAAGAACTAAACTTATTTAGTTTTATTAGCTTATTTACGTTCATATTTTGTTTTCGTTTTTAATTTGTTTTTATAATTTCATATGTTTGGGATGTTGCTTTTAGAGAATATTTTTATGGGTTCGAGCAGTATTATTTTACCACCTGTTAAAATTTTCTTCAAATATTTTAATTACTCTACATGTTGTACCCGGTACGAAGAGCTCGAATCAGAGGGGACCTTTGAATCGACAGCCTGTTGCTCTGAAAACAAAAGATTTTTTAAATTGCATTCAATTCCGGAATTTTAAAGCGTGTGGTGATAAAAGATGTAAAATTTGCCTTAATATGGACAAAAAACATAATTCAAAATAACGATAGTGCTAAATCTGTATGCGAAATTAAAAATTTTATTAATATGTTAACCTGTGGTTTTTGTAATATGTTGAACAAAGCAGTAACTCGCTTAATATTAGAATAAATCAGCATCGTTTAGATATAAACAGTAATAAAATTATCAATAACTTAGAATTGAATAATTTTAGAGTACATAATTTTAACAGTGTAAAAATTAATATTTTAGATACAGTAGAAGATATCGATTTAAGACTACAAAAAGGCAAAAGATTAAGTATAATAAATAAATTATTAAAAATCTTTCCAGAGGTTGTGAAGAGTTTCATGATAAAGCAAGAGGATTTCGTTGAGATTTTTCGTAGTTTGATATTGGAGGTCATGTACATAGAAGCAGAGGTTCGGAAGGTCTGTAAAAAAAAAAAAAAAAAGACGGAATATGGAAAGGAATGATGTTGTATTTTCTTATCGATTGACGATGCCCTGAAACATGAGAAAAAGGTGGGATTTAGAAAAAAAAAAGAGAAAAAAAACTGGTAAAATGGTATTTATACAAAAGATGAATCATTGGGGAGTGAGAGCCAAGGGACCAGGAAATTTGCTGCTGAAAGGAGTATTTGCGAAGCAGTTCCAGCTTCTTTGTGGAGAATAGGGGATGAGAGTCCAACATGGGAGTTCTGTTGCTGCTCAAAGGCCTGCGTTATAGATTGTTTGAATTGCTCGGAGATGGAGATGTTATTTTGACACGGAGCAGAGGATTGGGCTGCCATACTCTAATGTACTTCTGATTGTAGCGTTTACAATCTAAATGAGGGGATAAGTTCGGAACTCCATTGGGTGTTAGAGATTAAGTGAAGCGAAGTGCGTTAATTTTTTAAACACATTTTCTTAGGTTCTGAAAATGGCAGAGGAAAGAAATACTTGATGTGTAGTAAATACCAAGAATTTTGAGGGAACTTGGTGAATTTGTTCATTAAAGGTAGTTAACTGAATTGAAGGCGAGGGACGTTTTTTTGGAGAAATGCATTTATGATATGCATGCATTTAACCCTTTTGGAAGTGTGACAAAAAATTGCATTGTATTTAAAGAAAGATAGATTTATAAA